GTTATGGAATTACGAATTTTTAAACATCGCCCAAATTTCATGAATGAGAAGTAGTCAAAATCACTAATTTGGCCCCCAAGGGGACCCCCCCTGAAACTTTGCAAAAAAGCAAGCGCCGAGACACAAAACAAAATGTGTTTTGGAAATAACCTTGGAAGGGCACACTCACACACAAAGTTTGAAAGAAATCTATTTTTTCATCAAAAATGGTTATGAGGTTCTTACAGAGACAGCCTCTTAACTTAACATCGATCGGTTCTGTAACATGTATTACTACCTGGTTTGAAACGTCGGTAAAACGTTTCCCATTCGACAAAAAGACGCAAGCAGTCGCGAGTTGACCAGTCTGCGTGACCATACCATACGCAGCTAAGTAACCCGAAGTTTTACATTATTTAAAAACGGGATAAACTTTATGTCAGTCATTTCGTATGTCAGCTAAATTTTTCGTTATTTATGAATTATATCCACGTAATTAAACCCGGCATAGTGTCTACTGCTCATTAATATGCAGTAGACACAATATATTGGACCAGAAGCATGACCAAAGTCTGTTAACAGTGAACACTTTTGTAGGTTATTATTTCCTGACCTGTATTCGGTTTCAAACCAAATGAAGCATTGAGTTCAATATACACAGAGATCCGCTAAATTATTTCCTAACGGGGGGTGAGATCTGTAAAGAAACGCACGAGGGGAGGGGAGGTTTGCTAAATCGGCACGAGTAGATTATGAAAGGCCATAGAATCATTAAATTTGAATACCGATGGTCTGGCCCTGTTTTTAGTAAGTGTTCTTTTTTTCCAGAAGCCTTCAACATGGCTTTTTCATCTAATTTTCACACTGACACCGCTATCCCAGAAAACACAACCACCATTGAAGAACAAAGCGATAATCCAGAAAAAAATGCCCTGGCCGTCGATCTTGTGTCCATTGGCAGCAAAATGTTAAACTTTAGCAACAAAAATCAAACAGTGGACAACTTTGAAATCAAATGGCCCATGTATCATGAATTACTGACACAGTTTGCTTTAGATTGGGGATTTTTTGTCGATGTGGATCATCTTGATGAAAATGCTACATTAAAGATTGGAATCTTCGTCCCTAGTGAAGTACCCTACAGGTAAGAGTTCAGGGGAGGATCCAGAAATTTCACTAGAATGTGTATTCTTCAGGAAGTTCGATAAAAGCGAGGTGATGTAATAGAGGCTTTACAACGCCACGTGGTTAGATGGCAGAAGAATAAAATCCTTTCGTTCTCGGGATTGAATTCTTGTCATGTAAAATGATAGTATCGTTTCTGCCGTCTAACATGGCTGCTGTCACGTGATGGTGCAAAGCCTCTATTGGAGACTTCGTAGTTGTTAGTCCGGATCGTTGTTTAGAGGATTCGGGCAAGCCCCCTGAACCTTCCCCCTAATAGATCCAGCCCTGTTGATGATTCTATTAGAAGGAAGGAAGAAAAGCGCAAAGGAAGTTGAAGGAATAAAGGAAGGGGGCAGACTAGTATAGAATGCAAAATTACCAAAATCTTTATTTTTCAGGGCGTGTAATATAGTATGGGATCATGAAGTTGATCCAAGTATACTTAGAGGGACGATTTGGTAAGTGTTTGTGACCTTCACTGCACTTCACTTCACTTCACCTCACCTCACCTCACCTCACCTCACCTCACCTCACCTCACCTCACCTCACCTCACCTCACCTCACCTCACCTCACCTCACCTCACCTCACCTCA